CACAGTGTGGACAAGTTCTATAACCTCAACGGTATACTCCCGATGAGCACGAGATAGTTCCTAGATCTTGATGAAGATGCTTCCCTACATTATCATAAAAAAATTTATAATTATCAAAATAAATTTATAATTTGATACATAAAATTGTGTATTATAATTTTATCTAAATTTAAAAAATAATATACATAAGATTACATTCTTAAATAAATGATTCAAAACAAAGATGCTTTTATTTCTATCCTGTATGTTGTACTCAACTTCTTAAGTTATTTAAGTGAGCTTGAGCCATTGATGATAAAACCTAATTTAAATTAAAAACAATTAAAAACAATGGCAACTACAAAAAAAAAACTTAAAATTTCAAATAAGAATTAATAGAAATTGATAAAGAACCGAACAAAAGTTTAAAAAACAAAAATTGAAAAAAAAATCTGATTTCTTGATTTGGATTTCAAATTTGATTTCGTTTGCTAAGATAATAGTTGAATTAATTTCACAAATCTTAAAAGAAAACTGAAACAAAAATTATAGTTAAAAACAGTAGAACATGTTCAAGATTCTAAGACTTATACACTAATGAGAATGAGTTTATTTAGATTTCACGAGCATTGTTTCAAGATTTAATCTAAGATTTATAATCTAATGAAAATAAAAGAGCGGTTCAAGATTTTTTCTAATATTTATAATCTAATGGGAAAATATTCTAATTTATTTAATTAAAATTTACTGAAAATCATTCCATTTCTTCTTTTTTTTAAGTTTAAAATCGTGGTATTTAAGATGGAAAATCAAAAGACTTTTCCATCATGTTGAAGTGAAAAAGTCTACAGAGAATTGGTTCAATTGAATTTCTATAAAAAAAACTTGAACAGAGAGAAAATTACTTAAGAGTTCGGATAGACTTTAGGGTTTCTAAAACTTTATAAATAATGTCCTTAATAAAAGGATCTTTATAAAAAATGTCATTATTTTAGTTTTTTTTATAATCTTTTGATTATATATTATATTTCATGTAGACAAACTTATATTACTTCTATATTTTCTTTGAGATTTTTACACTGATAAAAATAATAATAATTATATCGATTTCAATGATAAAATAAATTTATTTACTAAAATTATTATATTAATAATAGGTAGTGGAATAATTATATAAATTAAAATATAATAAATAAGAGTAAGATAGTGAAAATAAATAATAAATATCGTATTGATATTCCAAATAAATAAATAATTTGAGACAAATAGAAATTGAAAAAAAGACACATATTATGAGACAGAGGAATAGTCAATAAAATTACTTTATCATCTTTTTGTTATTATATTAAATATTGATATGTTTACTATAAATTTTATTGATAACACAATAATTTTTTATCACAAATCAATTAAATGATTTTACAATTTATTATAAAAACACTATTGATATATTAAGTACTTGTTAATATAAAAAAAATATCTACACCACAAACAATTTTTCCTACTTTTTGTGTTTTTCTTTTATTTTAATACCTAAAAGACAGATGTTGTTAAGCATTCTTAGCCAACACAATTAATTAAATTTTTTTAATTTATCAACACAAAAATAGAATGATTATAGTATACTACAATAACAATAGTATTCCTATTTGAATATAAAAACATTATTGATATTTACAAGAAGTTTTTGTTTGTAATAAAATAAAAGATTAAGAAATAGTTGAACTTTATTAAAAAAAATAAAAGATTACCTTTTTTTTAATAAATTTTTTTTTAGAATTACAAAGAATATTGACTTTTTTTACGCTACAAAACTTAATTCTACTTCTTTCCTATAATGTTTTTTTTTTTTTACAATTCAATTAGTTAAGCTATTGAAGCATAATGCCTCATAAATACAGTTTTACTATTAATGCTTGGAACATGATTCTTTACTTGGTCATGGTATCCACATTTACAATTAAAAGTGTGTGAATTTTAACCACTAAGGTATTTATAACAACTTGCTCATGGTGTCCATATTTACAATTAAAAGTGTGTGAATATAACTAATAAATTATTTAACAACTTGATCATAGTGTCCACATTTACAATTAAAGTGTGTGAATATAACCACTAAATTATTTACCAAAAACAAATTTATTGGAGCATGTAATCATATATCTCTAACCAATTAATTAAATTTAATATTTTGTATATGTCTCAATTAAATATTAAAATTATTGTGAATATAATATTTGACTTTATTATAAGATCCTTATATGAAAAAAATGTCCATATCTAAAAAATTAAATAAGATAATAAATGTTTATTACTAATCGATTAATTCAACTAAGTATTTATATATTATAAGATTAAAATTATTATACTATAATATTTATATTTATTATAAGATCTGTATAAAAAAAATATTTATATCTAAAAAAATTAAATAAATTAATAAATGTTTTTATTAATCAATGACTTAAAAGATAGTGCACTGACAAACTAAAATAGATTTACACTATCATTTAATAAAAAACAAACATTCTGCTATATCGTTAAAAAAAATTTAAAATAATATAATTTAATTGAATACATAGTTGTGATTGGTTGACAGTGTAAATTATATTACATTGTCAATGAATTAACCATTTTCTCTTAATCAATTAATTCAACTTAAATATTTTATAATTTCTAGATAATATTGAAAATAATTAGAATATATCAGTTTAGTTTATTATCAAAACATACACTAGAAAACGTTTCTTCCTAAAGAATGAGAACAATTATAAATTACTTGCTATAAAAATATACCTTAAATTCTTTACGTTTATTTTAGAGTTGAATCACTTAAAAAAATCTATTTGAACGTATAATATATAACCATGAGTTAATTTAATATTTTTTTATATTTTCTCAATAAATATTAAAATAGTTATAATATATTAATTGAATTTTATAATATAAAAAGAATTTAATGGAAATACACTAAAGTATTTTTACATTGACAATAAATTATAACTATCGGACCTTAAGTTATATTTAATTTTTATTTTAATTATATATAACGTAATAATTACGAATGATTGTGATAGATTGACAATGTAAAACTTTTTATATTGACGGTACATAACTATTAAACTTATATAAAAAAACATACACAAGACAAATAATTTTCATTTATAAGTGAACATCAAAAAAGCTTTTGACTTTAATAATTGGTTATTTTTATGCATGTTCCGAAGCAATTTGGTTTCAATGATATTTTCACTAACTAGATATGGATCATCCTCAATTCTTCCAAACAATGGAAAGCTTTATGGATTCTATGAGTGTAGTTAGAAGGGTGAGACATGGTGATCCCCTCTCTCCTCTCTTATTTTGCATTGTTGAAGAAATCTTTAGGAGGAGTTTAACTAATCTTGTCTATCATAATAAAATCAATCTTATTTCTGGCCCTAGAGGGCTTGAAGTTCCTTCTCATTGTTGTTTGTTGATGATGTCATGGTTTTTTTAGAGGTGACAAGGCTCTATAGCTTCTCTCATCAACTTGTTCTCTATATATGCTATATCTTTAGGTTAAATGGCGAAACCCAAAAATCTTACATCTTTGTTGGTTATGTTACTGAAACTAGGTTGCACCATATTGCTAATCAGTAGGGGTTTAAGATTGGGCGCCTTCCTTTCTTTTATTTGGGTGATCCAATTTTTAAAGGTAAAGGTAAACCTAAATCCAATTGAATCAATTCCCATAATATTATAATTCTTAAACCCTAGAATCAAGAACAACCCAAGCTCCCGTTCCCAAATATATCTTTGTTCAAGTTGTGTCGTGGGATTTCCCTCCCTAATCAATGAATCTCGCAAAGGAGTTTTGTTTTTTTTATCTTTTATTTTGTTACTCATAAATTTCATTTTTTTATCTTTTTATTTGGTTATTCATTTTCGTTCAAGTTTGAAATTCTACGATTTTGTTCATCTAGAAAGTTGAGTCATCATCAATGGCCCTAGCTCCGCTCATGTTATTGAAGCAGAACTAGAAATTGAGAATAATATAGAAAAGTTGGAAATGAAAGCAGTTGTATATGTAGAATTAGTTGAGGTTTTGCATATTATCCTCGTTGAAATTAAATTTTCAGATGGTCTTGGACTCCAGATGAGTCTGAATCATCCTTAACAATTCCACAATATGATGATAATTTTGAAGGTTATCATGACTATAACGATTATTATGTGGGAGTAGCCCTCCAAGAAATTGAGAAGGTTCGTGGAAAAATTGAAGAATGTTGAGAATCATTGGAATCTTTACAAGCTAATGTAGTATAGCGACAAAATATACACTTTGATTAGGGAATACAGTTATAAGTTTTGTTTGGAAATAACAATTCTATGTTTTAATGCTTCCGTTTTTATACTGATGTCACTACAAGAAAATTGGCAGATTGCGACAGGTATTTTTGTAGATTACGACGGTTAAAACCGTCGCAATTTGCTTTCCACGACGGTTGCTTTACCGTCGCAGAAGTGTGTGTCCCCAACCTATTTCGCGACGGTTACAAAAACTGTCGTTCAAGTTTATGACGGGTTGATACCGTCGTGACTATCTTTTGAGTTTCTTTTAATTATTGATGGCGACGGTTCGATACTGTCGTGAATATCTTTTGAAATTGATTAAATTGTTTATGGCGACGGTTCGATACCGTCATGACTTTTGTTGATTATTTTTAATTGTTGATTACGACGGTTCGCTACTGTCGCCATGACTTTTGTTTATGTCTTGACTTTTGTTTAAAGTTGGACCTATATCACGAAATATTTTTCTACATTATTTGTATATGTATAAGATCGAATTTAAATCCACTGATTTCTCTGCAAATTGCAGAAAACATATAAACATATAATGCATCTTTACTTTCTTTTCCACTTTGAGCTTTATAATTTGAAATATCCCATCTTTCTAAAAAAGAAAATGAGATAAGAATTACAACATAAATAACATGTTACAATTGCTTCAAGCAGAACCTCTTTAGATACACATACTATAAGAGACCAAAAGGCTCAGGCAGGTTCTCGAATCCATTATCAAATAATAAGGAGCCTTGATCAAATTTATCATCCACACTATGAAGCCAGTTTGTATTCTTCAAATCTTCTTTAAGCAACAGCGCGTCGTAACGAGAGCTCTCGTATACGTCAATTTCACTCAGTTTTGCTGAGTATTGTCTTTCATCTATCTCTCTTCCTTTTATCATATTTCTATTGATTCCGTTTACCACGTCAAAATGGGATCCATTATTTTTGTTTAGTATGTTTCCGTTCGCTTCGATAGATGTTGGTGGAGCACTTGAACCTCGATTATATTGACTCTTGTGCGTGGAATTTCGAATACTTTGTGGAAACAGTGTGGTGCTTGATAGTGCACGATGATTTCCCGAGCCGTTCCTTATGTCCTGTTAAACAGAAAAGTGCGTGTAAATTGGGTTTGCGTGATAAAACAAACTTGCTTGGAGCATACATCTTCACAAAATAAGATTCGGCAACAAAATAGAGTATACAAACCATGTGCTTGATTGCCATATCCAAGGATTTCTTTGAGATATTCCTTCCAAATCCAGAGTTGTCAGTTGTGTTGGTTAAGGCTTTAACTGATCTTCTTGCAGCTACCTCAGGATCATGTGAGACTTTTCTAGGTTCATGAACATCAGCATGATGGCCATTGCCATTGGCAAATCCACGACTTTTACTGACAGGTTCTGTTGATCTTCCTCTACTGACAATAGGAGACGAAGCTCGCCTTGGCATATTAACCGACGCTTGGGTTTCAGAAGTATTTCCTTTCAAAGTGTTAACACCCGGACGGGACCTACCTGCAGAGACAGGTCTATCGGGCAACGTTGTTCTGAGGTTTGGTGGTGTATCAAGGGGAAAATCGGGTGGAACAACAGGCTGTGGTGGGGCCCAGATTCGTGGACTTGGTGAGCTTGGCCGTGAGGATGGTGCTGAACTACGCCCGTTCAATGGAACACGTCCAACTGAAGTTGAAGAACTTGTTGCAGAGGAAGGAGAAAGAGATGGTATTGAACTCCTACGTGTGGGAGTAGAAGGACGAGATAACGATCGAGTCGATGGTGCAGATGGGGAATGTAAGTTTGCAGGAACCTGAGGCCTAGAACTAGGAGTGGAAGGCCTCGATCTTTGTGATATTGGTCTAGGCTTTTCAGCAGTAGAGCTTGTCGAAACTGTACGTATTCTGGAAGGTGTTGACGCCCTTGATGGTGTTGTGCGCGAAGTAGGAGTTGAAGGCCTTGTCGAAGATGTCGAACGGGGTATCGAGGAAGATGGTCTAATGTAAGATGAAACTGAGGCTGAGCTTGTGTTGAGGATATTTGTGGAGGAGGATCTGTTTGAAGAATAGTTGTTGTTGTACTGAGACTGTAAAGTGGAGATCGAAGGACGAGTCACTGAACTGCTTCTTGCTGGTCTAGAGTGATTGTTGCTCTCAGATTGTGAGACTGAAAGCTGAAACAAAACATGACTAAGAAGTTAAACATGATTAAAAACACCTGAAACATCATTTATAACAGGTCAATGTATTATGAATTAGTTCTCCAAGACTCAAGTAATCACTAAGCTCAAAGGTTACTAACTGGTGAAACCAACTTATGAAACAAAACATGTATACATTTTCATCGCTTTCGCCCTCACGAGTACAAATATTTAACCATGGACACCAGTATCATATACCAAAATTTTTGTAGAAAAAAAAATAGATACATCTATAAGCTATGAGAGGACCACACATACCCTTGAGGCCTTAGTGGTAGAAGTCTATCCAAACATTCTTGTCCAAATCCGTAGTTACTAGTCTCACCAGCATCCTCATCTTTAGACACCGCGGCATGCCAAGCAGCATCATCCTCAATATCCAGCAACAAATTCATCAGCACATATAGAATTCAACATTAATCATAGGTAACTACATATCAACTTTTCACGAAACTTATAAACTAAACTCGAGTAAAGAAAGTACCAGAGCAGAAAAGGATCCAATGTGAATGGGAACACAATAACATTTCAAAATCAATTGTATTGATTTAGAATAACCAGCATGAGTATAATACAGTTAACTAGCCATTAACTATAAACACTGAAAATGAAATTCTCACCTTAGCAATAGACTTTGAGCAGCCAAAGAAGCAGCGGAATATTTCACCTCTACAATAACAGCAGGGGTTGCAAGGGAGTTAAAATCTAGACAGGTATGTTATATTAAGATGCATCAAACTATAAACTTTTTATACACGTGAATAAAACAGAATGCATCATTAGGAAAAGCTATGTTTAACTGTTGCACTAAAATTCTTATAAAATTAATATTGAAAAGTTTGAATATCATCACAATTTGGCACACAAATTGGATTTCAATTGAGTAATTCCACATCTGAATCTTTATTATTAAATAGCCTCCATGCAAGTAAGAACACCTTATGAGGCACCAATTTGTTCCAGATAACATCACAAGTTGAAGAATCATTTATGTTGACATGATCCATGCAAGTAATAACACCTTATGAGGCACCAATTTGTTCCGGATAACATCACAAGTTGAAGAATCATTTATGTTGACATGATCCTGTTCATATGGTAATCTCTTTTGAATGAATAGCATTCTCTCGAGTTCTAATTTCACATCCAAACATTTAACATATTTTCAAAACGTTAGCCAACAAAATCCTACCACCTCATCTTCCTATTGACATGGTCTCTGTTCCCCGTCATTCTAAATAACCTACTAAATCTATTGAAATTCTTGAGCAGCTCTCCTCCCACTCAGGATCAAACTAAAAATATGTATCTGACCATTTCCTACCAACTTTATACCTGGAATGTAATCTCTACCATTCACCAACCCATACTTAGTGAAAGTTGCCAAGCGGAGACCCCACGTAAATCACAGAAGAACACGAGTGTTTTTCTATTAAAAACAGGAAGTCGTAATAAAAAAACGGTGCCTGATGAGAGAATCGGAACATCTCCTCTTTAGGAATCCTCTTAACCTCATTCTGGTCCTGGTGCCTTCGAAATACTGTCCTAAAGCCAGGAAACTTAACAAGGGGAGTGACTGATATATCAATATTATTATTACAATTGCAAAACGACTACTATCCCATTTGGATCAGTATATGGTCCTCTTATATCAGTTTTATGCCTAAAACAACAAATTAGAAAACCTAAAAAATCATAAAAAGAAATAAAACCCTAAAATAACAAATTAGAAAACCTAACATCAATTCAATATATTCAAACTCAAAATCAATCATCACAAAGAGCTCAACCATAAGATTCAAGTGAATCTCCAATGCTGAAATCAATGGCAGAGAATGAGAGAGATGAGAACAATGCAAAAAGTGATACATAAAACTTACTGTGTTTGAAGAGATGAACGCAGAGGATGTAGTTTCCATTGCTGTGCGTTTTTTGGTGTGAAGATGAGCGATTTGAAGAGATTCCTTTCGGTGTCAAGGGGTTTCTTTCGGTGTGAAGAAGAACGGGTTTGAGTTTGCACTATAAATCATTATAATTAATTCATTTCTATTATAATGAGAATCATTTTTTCATTCAACTTTGTGCAAATGCATTTTTGTGGAATATTTTTAATCTCGAAAAGAAATAAAAGTGAAGAATAATGAACTCATAAATTTTCAATATTTTAATTTCTTTTAGTTCTAAGATCTTTTTTAGTACTAGACATTGGATAATATATTTTAGGGTTCATAATTTGTAAATCTAAATTTTAATTTCATGTTATATTTGAATGTGTTAATGATGGATATAAAATCAAATCTATATAAATCTAAAAAAAAAATTGTTTTACCGCGACAGGTGTTTTACCGTCGTGCCCATGAGAATTTTTAAAGGTTTTGGGTGCGACGGTTGTTTTACCGTCGTGAAATGAATTTTAGGACGGATAATTTTACCGTTGTGAAAGGTTTAAGGGTGCGACGGGTGCTTTACCGTCGTGATATGCCTTTTAGGACGGTTAATTTTACCGTCGTGACTAGTTGTTGGTGAAAAATCAATGTTAAAAGTGTTAAATGGGGGCCGACGGTTGTTTTACCGTCGTAATAATAATATTATGATGGTTAAATATACCGTCGCAAAATAAATATTAGGGACGGTTGGTGTCAACTGTCGTAAACACTGTCTCTATATGTCAATTACGACAGTTATCACATAACTGTCGCAATTTTTGTGTCGTTAAACACTAATTTTCTTGTAGTGTGTTCAGTCGTGGTTAGTTGTTTATTGTTTCACTAAGTTGTGTATTGTGCATTTTTCTATTATGCATGTGCTTCACTAAGTTGTTACATCTACCGCCGCCTCATCCAGCGCCTCCCTCCCTGATGAGAAGAACATTGACAACCTTGTCCTACCCAAAAAGGAGGTCATTCTCCACCTTGATTCCTCAAGCAACAGCTCACGCTCTTTAGCGAAGACGATGATGCTAGACTCGAGTCTCAAATATGTTCTCAAAGCTGGGTTGTTCGAAGTTGATAGTGACATGGCAAAGGGAGAGACTAATAAATTCTTATGTGATATTACGGAGTTGAGGAAGAGATAGAGAATTGGGATTGGGGATTGGGAGCGATAGAAAGCGATAAAAGGTCGAGGACAATGCCATTGAGGAGGTGATGGTGGAGCTGGCAACAATGAGTGGAAACAGGAATTGCATAAGATGGATGAGAAGCAAACAACTAAAGGGAAGTCCATTTGTTCTTTTTGGTCGGCATCATTTCAATTGACTGTGTGTATATAGATCGCTTATGCATTTAGCAACCTACTTTCCTTGGTATTTGGTAGGGATTGACAAACTAACACCGTAACCGACTAATTTTTCTCATTCATACACTATCATCCACCTACACTCACTATTAGGAGTGTTTGCAATGCGGTTTGGGCGGTTTTGAAGCAAAAAATCATCCGAATTACAAGAGAAAAAACGTGCGATTCGGTTTGGTTCGGTTGACTTTTAAAAATAAAACAAAACCAAACTAAATCAAACTAATGCGGTTTGGATTGATTCGGTTGGTTCGGTTATTTATAAAAAATTATTGAGCCATACATACACATATAAAAAATATATAATTTTGTGTTTAATCGTTCATACATTACCATAAAAAAATTTATAATTGTCAAAATAAATTTATAATTTGATACATAAAATTGTGTATTATGATTTTATCTAAATTTAAAGAATAATATACATAAGATTGCATTCTTAAATAAATATTATACGAAGAATACGATAAAATATATTTTGTGAAAATAGTATTTATAAATGAATAATATTTTATTTTTTATGATTTATAAATTAAAATAAATATTATATAAAAAATATAATAAAATATACACATACATGTTGATTTCTCTAAATAATTAAAGAAATGTATATTGGTTAGTAAGATTTTATAATAAAATATAGTTTGGTTCGGTTTACAAAATACAAACTGCAAACCGAATCGAACCGTGCGGTTCCGTTAGAAAATGACTCAAACACATCCGAACCAAATGCAGTTTTTTATGATTTCGATTTGATTCAGTTCGATTTTACAATTTTCTATTAGGCCGGTTTGATTTTGAACACCTCTCCTCACTACATCATATTTTCATAGAGAATTCAACCCTTTCATATTTTACAATAAAATTAATTTCTAACATTCACACTCTAACACACTTTTTTACACAATTTTTCACCTCACCTGATTTCTAACACAAATATTCTCTCAAAAACACATTCATTCACAATTTTAAGCACAATTTCTCCCAAAAAAGAATACCAATTCTTGACATAAAAATAAAATTGTTTTAATCTCTTATAAAATTTATTATTTTTGGTCTTGTTAATATATTCTAATTTGAAAAAAATTGTATAGCACATATCAATGGATTGTCTTCTAAATGTTATGTTTTCTTCTATTGTTCATGTGGAAATTCTTGAGCAAATAAAGAATAAATTCACAAAAAAAAGAATAGCATCAAAGAAGCAAGACAAAACAGGACAAGAAAAAATCAGAACTGACCCTCACCGCTGGCGAATCTGACCACCGTTACAAGCCCAAGACCGCCGTGCATCAGTGTCCATTGTCGAAGTCTCCACACGAAACAGTCCAAAAGGAGTCGCTGTAAACCACTGCAGAATCACGCATCAAGAAGGCTTGTTTGCTTGATTGATTTTTTTTAATAAAGTGTTGTTATATCGGATTAGGCCTCCTGAATATTTGAATTTTAATTAGTCAAACATTATTTCATTTGCTTTCATAAGACTAGTACAACTAAGAAGAGGACACCACCTGTTTGTGTACTATTTTGTATGTCTTCTAATTTTTTATTTTTTATTTGCTAGTTGTAATTCTAATTAGGGTTTAGAGATTATGTTGGGCCTTGGGCCTCCTTACTACACTCTCCACTTATCTATTAGCATCCCTTTTAGATTTTTTGCTTTTTTATTTTATTTTATTAATTTTAATTATCAAACAATAAAATACAAAATATTCACTTTTATTTAGTTAGTAGGTTAGATATTTAATTTATTATTATCAAAAACATGAAAAAATATATTTCATTTAATTAGTGAATTAACTTAACTTATTAAATTGTTTTGTTTTAATTATCTATTATCATTCAAGAATACAAAAAATATAATTTTAATTTAGTTAGATTTCTTATATTAAATTAGGTTAACCCTTATATATATATATATATATATATATGGTAGTTTAGTCTTCCGATTTCAATATTCACAATCAACCCGTACATAAATTCAAATATTTTTTAAATCAAACTGATTCAATATTTTTGCAAATAAAAATATGAGTGGATGCACTTCTACTACGTCCTCGAGTAATTAATAGGTTAGCATAACTCTTAACCAATTAATTATTCAAATTAAGACACTAAAATCCATGCACCTCATCAATCTATTTTTCGCCTCCGTGCGATAAAACCAATTCCTTCGCCCCCACGCGATTTAATTCTAATAAAATCAATTTCTTCACCCCACGCGATTTAATTCTAATCAAGATCGAATATTTTTCATAATACTAAAATCAACCGACCAAACTTCATTCAAACTATGTAGGACTCTGATTTCTCTCATCCTCCGATGAGAGATACGTAGGCACATGGTTGCGAGACCAAGGCGAGTCCATTAGTAATTTCTTCCCATTTAAACCCTTATAATAAAAAAAATAAAGTAGATTAAGCAAGAATAAGCAACCACACTTAGTAACCATAATATTAAAGAAGGTTTCCCTTGAGTATAAGGGAAGTGAGGGGTGTCTAACACCTTTCTCTCGCTTAATTGACTCCTGAATCCTTAACTTGGTTACAACGACCGTCTTATCCATCCAATTAGGGTTTTTCCATTAGTTTCTCATCCTTAGGACAAATAAATAAGGGTGGCGACTGAAGGTGTGAAAAACACAAGAAAGGGGGGGGGGGTTGAATTGGGTTTTAAATCAAAACTTTTCTTTTAAAAATATTCCCCTTTAACTAAATTACTTTTTCCTTCACTCTTGATAATAACAATAATTAAGAACAGGAAGTAAAGAACAAGATATGTTTACACTAGTTCACTTGAAAACTATTAAGCTAGTCTAGTCCACCCGCCAAGGTGATTTCGCATTTCTCAATCGAAGACTTAATCACTATAACCAAACTGATTATAATTTGCACAACCTACCCGCGAGTGACTGACAACCTCTGAGACACACAAGTCCTATACTTCTTAAGGATATAGACCTAATCGGTCCCTTAAGGAAAATCAAACATTAATTAAACTGATTATTACAATGCACAAGCTACCCGCAAGTGACTAACAACCTCTAAGACACACTAGTCCTAGACTTCTTAAGGATACAAACCTAACCGACCCCTTAAGTAAATCAAAAAATTGTTTGAATACAGTTTTTATTTACAATGATATTGCTTCTACATAAGCTGGATATGTGAACTATTTTAAAAACAATAACTTATGAATATGAAAGTTATGAACATCGCTTGTGCGCGAATATTCAGTGTATTGGATGCTTTCTCTCTTAGTCTTCAAGCTTTTATATATCTAATAAAATAATATATTCATTAAGGGGTACTCTTGGGATTTGCAGAAATAGTGGAAGCTTGAGCAATAACGTGGGGGACAAGATCGTGCAACACGTTCGTCCTTTCATGGTAGTGGAATGAAACGTTGATTGTACCATATACTATTTGTACCACGTTAACATTATCTTCTTTCCTTATGTACTTCAGAGGCTTCTACGAGCATGGGTTTAGAAGAGAGAGCATAACACAAGGTCATCAGAACTTCAAGTCTTCAGAGTCTTCAAAACTCCATCTTCAGAGTCTTCGGCACTTGGTCGTTAGAACCTTTTCTTAGAACCTTGGGTCTTTAGAACTTCAAGTCTTCAAAGTCTTTAGAACTTCGTCTATAAGAATCTTCAATACTTAGTCTTTTAGAACCCTTTGTCTTTAGAAACATTAGTCTTCAGCATATGGACTTAAGAAGAAACTTTTGTCTTTAAATCTTGACTTGTTTCTTTTTAACACGTTATCTTCAGAAAATGAGTATTTAGCATCTGGACTTCAGTAGAAACTTCTGTCTTTAGATCTTCTGACTAGTTTCTTTAGACTTCATATCAGAGCCTACACTTCAGAGTCTTTTGGAGTGTCTTACTATTGTTCATCAGAACTTGTGCAGCGCAGAAGAGGAATTAATTCTCTTCTAATGTCTTAGCCACGCCATTCATCAAAAGCAGAACCTGTTTGTTAAATACTCAAAAATAACAAACATTAGAGTATCAAAATTATTCATACAAACATACTCATTTGTTATCATCAAAACTCATAGATGATATTGCAGAACCAAATCTTGTTCTTACAATCTCTCCCTTTTTGATGATGATAAAACCATGTAATTTGATGACATAATTTTGGTTATATAATTAGAAAAAGTAAGAATAAAAAGGTAAGGAATGATTATCCATTTTATGAAACTCCCCCTGAGTCAATGACTTTATGAAGATCAAATATCCTGACTCTGAACCATTTGAGTAGAACTCCCCTTGGTTCCAATAGATCAGATATTGAGATCTTGAGAGTCTTGACTCTAGATGCCAAATAAAATGAGATCAATTGAAATCTTGAAACTTTAATGTCACTAAGACAGCTTCTAGATTCTCAATTCTTGGAGTCTGATTCCAATTTCAATGAAAATGAGATCAATTGAAATCTTGAAACTTTAATGTCACTAAGACAGCTTCCAGATTCTCAATTCTTGGAGTCTGATTCCAAATTTTAATTCTTGGAGTTTGATTCCAGGTTTTAATTCTTGGATCCAATTCTAAATCCAACAGGTTAGACATAGGCCATGCATAATGCTTTTAGATCTTTGTCTTTAATCAGATTTCTCATTTCCTAAAAAAGAAAGCAATTCTAACAGAAATAGAATTTTAACTGGGTTAGAATGTAAGCAGCTCTTTTCAGAGAACATTTTCCAGAACTTGATTATTGAAATCAAAATTATGTTCATTTAACTATTCATCCTTTTTGTCATAATAAAAAAAATAATTATGTGTGTAAAACATAAAAACCAGAAGAAGACGACAGGAAAAGATAAGAAGTTTCATTGATATTTGAAAATGATTACAATTAGAAGGAGAAACAATAGAGTGAACACAAACAATGAAAACTATCTAAATTTCAAACACATCACA